GCGAGCGTTGAGCCGCAGTACCATGAATATATATATATATATATACAATGAACTTGTATATACCATGAATGAAGTCGTGGTGGTTAAAAATCGGAAGTAGATACGAAGCGCAAGCCGTAAGAAAGTAAAAGCCGAATTCTCCGCCTCTCATTTCCCATTAGCAGCCATTGGCATGTACATTGAGCACTATCTGACTGAAAAAGTTTGCTACGTCATACTCGCTGGGCGTAACCTCCTTGGTTTTCGAAAGGTTTAGCGAGCGTTCGGCCGCAGTGCCATGAATACAGTGAACTAGTATATACCATGAACTCGAGGTGTTTAAAGGTGGGAAGTGGACCCGAAGCGCAAGTCGTAAGAAAGTGTGCGTGTGCCACTTCTCGTTTAGTCCTTGGAATATCCGCTGGATGGCGGTGCTTCTATATGGGGAATATATGATGAAAAGATGCGAGATGGTGGTACTTGGAGTGTTGAATAGATGGACGAACGGACACATAGACAGATGCATGGATGGACGCATGAACGGACGCAGGGGCGGCTGCATGGACGAACGCAGGGACGGACGCACGAACAGACGCACGCACGGACGGGCTGATGGACGCATGGACGGTCACACTGACGGACGCATGGACGGACGGAAGCAAGAACGAATGGACGGACGAATTCTTCACCCCACTCTCCATCATTCACTCCATGGATATGCTGCCATTTTTTTCCAGTATCTTTATGTGGGGTTCTTTGATGAGCTGATTCCGTAGTGCTTGCATTGCTGCTGATGTCTCGACTGAATCAAACGCCTTCTCGTAATATATAAAAGCTATGTATAGGGGTTGGTTGTATTCAGCGCATTTCTCAATTACCTGATTGATAGTATGAATATGGTCTATTGTGCAGTAGCCGGCACGAAATCCTGCTTGGTCCTTTGGCTGATCGAACTCTAATATTGTCTTAATTCTATTAGCTATTATTTTTGTAAATACTTTGTAGAGAACAGAGAGTAAGCTGATCGACCTGTAATTTTTCGAGTCCTTGACATCTCCTTTCTTATGAATTAAGCTGATGTTGGCGTTCTTCCAATATTCTGGAACCCTTCCCGTCGAGAGACACTTTGTATATAAGGTGGCTAATTTTTCTAACACAATTTCTTTGCCATCTTTCAGGAGGTCTGTTGTTACCTTATCCTCACCAGCGCCATTGCCTCTTTGCATTCCTTCTATTTCCTTACTTCCCCTGTCGTTATTGGTAGGATGTCGAATTCTCTTGAACTATTATAGTTTCTCCCAAAACCATCCTGGTTCGTTTGACTTCCGAGGCTATACAGCTCTCTATAGAACTCCTCCGCCATCTCGACTAATACTATTCATATTGGTTATGAAATTGCCTACCTTGTTTCTCAATGCATATATTCGATCTTTCCCTAAGCACAAGTCTGCCTTCGCAGATTTTAGGCTTCTGCCACTTTTTACAGCCTGCTCAATTCTTTCGATGTTATACATCCTGATGTCGGCTACTTTACGCCTATTGATTAACTTCGGAAGCTCCACTAGCTTTATTTTGTTGGTTGCATTTGAGGCTTTCATCTTTTGTCATCTCTTAATAAGATTTTTTCGTCTCCTGAGATAGTTTGCCGGTTTCCCATCTGACTGAACCTCCAATTTCAATTGCGCACTCTTTGATGGTACTAGTAATTTTATCGTTCATTGTGTCAAAGCTAACGTCAGTTATCTCGTTTAGTGCCTCGAATTGATTCTGAAGCAAAACTCTGATCTCCTGTGTTTTCCCTCTCACCGCCAGCTCATTCATCGGCTTCTTGCGTATCAGTTTCTGTCTTTGCTTTTTAATATCTAGGTGTGTACAAGCTCTTACCATTCTATGGTCACTGTATCTAATCTTGCCAACTACTACATCCTGTACAATGCCTGAGTGTGCACACAGAATGAAGTCAATTTCATTTTTAGTTTCGCCATTATGACTTCGCCACGTTCACTTACGGTTAGCCCGTTTTCTGAAGACGGTATTCATAATCCGTAAATTATTACGTTCTGCGAACACTACTAATAACTCCCCTCTGGCATTTCTAGAGTCGATGCCATATTCCCCCACTGCAAGGTCTCCGACCTGTTTTTTGCCTACTATGGCACTAAAGTCGCCCATAAGAATAGTATACTGTGTCTTTACTTTAGTAATGGCTGACTCTACGTCTTCATAAAAGTTTTCAACCAAATGATCATCATCGCTCGATGTAGGCGCGTAGACCTGCACCACCTTCATCTTGTACCTTTCGTTAAACTTAATTATGATACCTGCCACCCTCTCACTGATGCTATAGTAGTCTTCTATGTTGCCAGCAATAGTCTGTCAACTAATCAACGGTAGCATAGGACGTGTCCATTCTTCAGCACTGTGTAAGCCTCACGCGTCCTCCTAACTTCGCTGAGAATATTACATCCCATTTAACATCCTCTAATTCCTCGAATAGCACAGATAGACTAGCCTCACTAGATAGCATGTTGAAAGTAGCCATCCAGTGGCGGCCTGTCCGTATCCAGGGATTCTTAGCACCCTACGCTGCGTCACAGGTCTGACCACCACCTTGGACAGTTGCTTCGCAACTGCTGGGGACTGGGGGTCAAGGGTTAATTGCTGTGTTCATGGGAGGTTGTGGCCAGGTACTGCACCAGGGTGGCCAATCCTACTCTGGTGAGGGAGTGCATTACCAGCAGATGGTCGCCAGTGAGGCCACATTCCAGACCTCTTTTTTTTTTCCTTTTTAATGATTCCTTCCTCATGCATTTTAAGCAGATATACAATTGGGAATGGTTCAGCATCCCTATTCGGACCGAATTTTGTCATGGCATGCTTAGCTGCTGCGCTATCTCAAAGTATATGGTCTGTTGCACTTTATTAGCAATGTAAAAAAAACAAAAACCACCTGACCGTCTATAAGCTCCCAAATTCACCTGGATCGTAGCTCGCCACACCTTTTTTTCCCCTAGTTGTCTGAAATCTAATTTTCCTATTAAAAAAAAACCTGTGTTGTTTAGAACTTCTGACCTTGCATGCTTGTACCGGATTAGTGCCTTGAATGACCCTTCTTTCCACGCGTTTGTTCTCTCCTAACTTCTTCCTGTCACGCTCGATATTGAAATTGTGGGCTTCAAATTTAAGTGTCCGCAATGTCAGAGTTTTGCTGATTTCAAGTGGCGGCACTCCTACTTAGATGTTTCCTGTAAACTGACGAGTTGCGGCACCTGTTTTCCGACTAATCGGCTATACTTCTATGTGATTCGCCCGTTGAACGTATACGTCGCGGTTGGTTGGAGTGCATGAAAAGTAAATGCGAAAAGTTTCTAGCTTTTAGTATATACAGGCACTGCATGCCTTTAGGCTGTATGCTCTTTTGTTGACGTTTTAGGGTAGTAAATAAAAAAATCGCTCTGGTAAATAGACATAGAAGAAGACAGTGGCGCTCAGATGAGGGTCAGCTATACGTATTAGTAATTACATCAATGGTTAGTCTAATAATGTAAAATGAAGGAGGGGTAGTAAGGAGCGAATCATTTCTAGTTCTAGAAAGCAGCGAAAAGAAAAAGAAAGTTCGTAAAAAAGCAATGTCGTGTTTGCATTGCTCACCACAAAGCGTCAGCTTGAATTCCATAGACTCTGACAACTCTCGACACCCACTCTCGCACACAACGATAAGTCCACGCGACTCCATAATAAGTCCACGTGTAGGTCCATAATAAACATTCTCAAAGCATTCATGACTAAGGTATCATGGCTGCCTTTAAAAATTCAATTCATTTTTCGAGATAAGGCGATCGAAGGTGAGTTTATGCAAACTTCACTGGTATGAACAAGACTCAATTAGCAAAGCCTCCGTTATTTCTCTATCTCTTTGATTGTATGCTGGCTGAGGGGGCTAATCACATATCATCTAGTCTCCATGCATAGAAGACTTATTTCGTTGCACAATTGACGTGTGTGTGTGTGTGTGTGTGTGTGTGTGTGTGTGTGTGTGTGTGTGTGTGTGTGTGTGTGTGTGTGGTGGTGTGTGTGTGGTGTGTGTGTGTGGTGTGTGTGTGGTGTGTGTGTGGTGTGTGTGTGGTGTGTGTGTGTGGGTGTGTGTGTGTGTGTGTGTGTGTGTGTGTGTGTGTGTGTGTGTGTGTGTGTGTGTGTGTGTGTGTGTGTGTGTGTGTGTGTGTGTGTGTGTGTGTGTGTGTGTGTGTGTGTGTGTGTGCGCGCGCGTGTGTGCGCTCGAGTTCAATACGTATTGACTGAATCCATTCATTGTGTATGCGTACGCTTACGGTACACAGCCTTGGTAACTTGGAGGCAAGACCACGAGCAGCATAGCCCTCTGTTGCCCTGAGCGCGCGCTCGTGCCAGGGACAAGTCTTGTCCATCTTGTTTTTCGATAGCCTTAAGGATGACGAAGCCCTTCAGGGGCCCGGGTGGTCGTATCATGTCGTCGCTTCGCGTAACTCAGGAAAAAGAAAAAAAAAAGGAATCAAGTGAGAAATATAAAGAGAGAGAAAGAAACGAAAGAAAGAAATAGAAATTAGTAGGGAAGAAAAACAGAAAAGTTGGAAAAATTAAAAAAAAAAGGAAAGAGGAAAAAAAGAGAAAACTGAACGAAAGGAGGTCGCCCAGCTTCACCCTTGCATGCTTCACACTACGCACAAGTATAGTGTGAAGCTGGCTTAGTTTTTTCTGTATGCGTGATTTCACTGCTACAAGACTGCAACGCTGCACTGCATACGTGAGCCAGAATGCACCGGCATCCGTCGTTCGACTGCCATGCATGCGCCATCGTACGTACTAGAGCGCACTCTCCGTGTCCCATCACCTGTCAAAGGACGTTCGCCGGCGCGCACCGCCACTAATGTGTCTCCTCCCTGCATTATAAGCGTTGTTCGTGTACGAATGGCACACGCACCCACACGCAAAAAAAAAAAAAAAAAAAAAGACGAGCGAGGACACTACCCGTCGGCGGCAGTGTTTCCGCATGGGGTCCCCTCGTTAGCGGCAGCATTCGTTTTCCTGCCCGACAGAAGCCATTATGTCGAGCGGCGAAATGCGGGAACAGTACATGATTCCCTCCTAGTGGACGCTCCAGCTTGGACATACATGCTACTGCTAAATTTTAGGTATGCGTAAGTGGTGCTGAGCCGCGAAGTTGTCGCCTTTGGCGTAATCGACATGTTAGTCGGAGTGGATGGCGTCGAGACGCGAAAACGGTGAGTGAGGGAGGTGACCTTTCTATTACATAATCCAGCTGTGTTTACTTGGCGCCCACGTAGAAGCGCTGTTAACATCCTTGTGGCCCACAAGGCTGCATTAAGCTTTTTAAATGGTGTAGCATACGTGCGTGGCTGCATGTGTGATGCGTTTATCACCGTATACATCATAATCATCTCCCAGCAACTGGAGCAGTGTGTCAGGCGAAAAGCTACAGGCAAAACTCTCCTGCTCTTAATTAGAATATTTCTCTCTCTCTCTCTCTCTCTCTCTCTCTGTATGTGAGCCCTATAACTTCGCTGTCCTTTTTTATTATTATTGCGTGTTTATTGCCTTGGCGTTCTTCGTATTCTAGCTTTTAGATTGATGTATGCGTAAAATGACCAGTTCACTTTTATCCCCGTATAATTCTTTGATCTTTTTTCGCAATCATGATGGCAGCTGTGTGCGTATTCCATATTTTAGCGGGAGTCCACCACGTCACAAAATTACAAGGTTATGACAGACATCTCACTTCTCATCTCACAGCTCACTTTGCTTGTTTTCTTCTTTAATTGTTTTGCTTCGCATTCTCCACCTCTTTTTCTTCTTATTGAAAGTAATTAGTTTCACTGTGCTTAATTGCGCCGAATGGTTCACAGAGTTTAATGTTTCAAACTATTGACTCGTTATCTCATAGGCTAGTCGTAGGGATTTCGTCGCTTTTAGTTGGAATTGTTATTGTTTAACAAAATTCAGATATAACACGTTACAATAAATGATGAGTGCGCGTGCCCGTCTTCGAATGACGAAGAATTATGAAAAAAAAAGCTAAAAGGAAAAGAAAGCTCACAGAAACAGCATGCCACTCTCAACTTTATCCTTCAGTATCCCGAAAGTGGTTTATTTCATTATTGAGCGGTTCGCTTTCGTGCATGCTATACCTTATAACCACTGCCTGTCTGTGTGTTCGTTCTATCGTCATTCATCACCGTTGCACAGGCGCATGACTCCGAGAAGGATGCTTTACGCAAAACTGCTCAACTGTGACAAAAGAGTGTGAAAGAACAGCAAGGCGTATATTGTGAACTCGGGTTTCTCGGTGACGTGCGTCCACCTCCACAACGAGCCTGGGCAATACAGGAAAAAAGTCATCATCTGTCTTTACGCCTCTGCAAGTCAACCGGGCTTTGAAGTCTATCCCGCGTCTGTAAAAAAAAAGAAAAAAAAAGTCGGAGTGCACAGCGGCCTTGTCAGCGACGCTACTTCTTATGTGCGTGGGCTCAAGCGTACGTAACAGCAGCAGCAATAACAAAGTTTGATTTCGCGATTTGCAAGTAGCTGCATTATTTCCCCTCACTTTCAACAAACTGCCATATAGCGCTGACGCTTTCTTTGACTAGAAGGGCGTCTCGTGCTTTCAGCAAGGACGTCGTTCCAGTCGTTTCCGCACAGTGACGCAATTAGTGACAGCTCGACAGCAGAGATCGAACTGCTCCCGACGCAAGAGCTCGAGCGTCTGCAGTGTACTGTATACCTGCCAAGTCGCGTCGGCCCCAAATATGCATCAACGTAAGTGGATCCCGCCTATCGCTTCCTCTATAAATACATGCATGCTTTCGGTTCGTACGTACACAAAGCAGCCGTACGTTCGTCGACGCGTGCACGACGAGTATACCCCGTGAATACCTGTTCAACGACGCGACATACGAGCCTTCTTTGTCTACGTCCTTATTATAGGACGGCTGAAATGTGAACTTGGCGCGCGTATATATTCGACTATAAGGTTGCACGGCGGGCATTTTGTGTTATGTGTCTTCCTTTCTGTCCCGTCCTGGTGCGCTATACCTCATATGCGCGTATATAACAGGCGTATGCATACATAGGCGGACTCGCTCGCTGGATTCCATGCCGACCGGTTGTGCCCTCGCGATCTCCGACGACAGCGTAGCTCTGGCCGACTGGATTAGCCCTACGCCATCTCCTGTTGCCGACAAGAGCTCTCGCCAGTGGTGCCCCGTCCTCGGACTTCTGTGACCATGTTCATCTTTCCTATCTTCTCTTTACTTCCGTCGCTCCCTGTCTCTGCGCCTCTCTCTCTATTTACCTTTGATTTGATCTTTTTAATCCCTCCTTACCCCCATCCCTTGTGAGCTACTGTTGAGGTGTCGCACCAGATGCAGACTGTTACGGGGCTCACTTTTCTCTTCTTTTTCTGTTATAACTACATAAAAATACATAGGCAAACACACAGGAAATGGGCAGGGGGGGGGGGGCATGGGGAGGGCCTTTACTCTCATCACCCGAGGGGGACTTCAAGTCAGCCCCACGCTTTCCTAAATGAGACCTTTCCTGTCAGTGCAGGATTATTGAAATACAGGTTTTAGACGACAGTGGCGGCCATATAGGGATCCGCACTCTGGGTTCCTCTTGAGAGGGGGCGAATGTAGAGTTATTGCATACAATATAGGGACACTAGATGAATGTAGAGTTACTGTATATGCTCCCTGCGGATAACATATAAAGGTACACTAGGTGAACATTCATCGTGGCGCCACCTTCCCATGTGAATTCAAAGTATGAGGCAGACCTTACGCCCCTCCTCCCCGCCCTCTTAAGTGACATGTGGGGAGTTCTACTGCCTCGATGGGGCGGAATGCAAGAACACGTGTGCCTCAGGAGCATATTAAAAAGATTTACAGGTGGCCAAAATCCATGCGGAGTCCTGCACGCTTTCGACGCGCCTCATAATCATATCGGGATTTAAGCAGGTATATATAGAAGGATGGAAGCTAACAAGGAAGGGAATAAATTACGAGTTCGAGGGATACCGAAACACGACTATAAGTATAGGACTTCCTCACATCATGAACGCATGTCGATCGGTACTCCTTAGCGATCTTATGAACTTTCCATCTAAAGGACCAATAACACCCTAAACTTGTTAGCTCACGTGATCCGGCGAGAACCGATATGTGCTGATTCAGCATGCCATACAACTTTAGAAGTCTGCAGCATTTCCTGCAAAAAGGAGGGTGCCCAGAAGCCTGCACGAATGGGTGCGCACTCCAGGCTGACGTCATAAGCCTGACTGCTTTTAGAGAACGTTGCCGAGGGCATGCAAGAGCGGGACTATTTTTTTAGTCTCTGCGGTGATCGGCTGCTGGGTGGGGCCTCTCCGGGCTTCTTCACTGTAATTACATATATCTTTAATATACAATAGGAATAATTATCATCATCGTCGTCATCGTCATCATAATCATTATCAGCCTTACTATGCCCACTGCAGGGCAAAGGCCTCTCCAAGACTCCCATGTTCGGCCAATCGATCCGGTCCTGCGCTTTATGCTCCCACGTTATACCTGCACACTTCTTAATCTCATCTCCCCCCCCTCCCCCCAATTTCCTACAATAGAAAGATTTAGCGTAAAAACAAAAAAAAATAAAAGACAACAGACACGAAGATCTTTTAGATGCGAAGTATCTTAGTTCAATTCGGTGTGCGACATGACCACCCTTACTGTACAGTAGAAAACACCGGTCCACCACTGCGTGCTTTGCACCTCCCCAGGTTTAATTCTCTTATGCACAACATTGCGATGAACGCCAGCGTCAACGCCGCCCTTTGCATTTAGCTGGAGATGGTGTAATTTTTTTTAACCTATAACAGTTCAGCCGGGCCTCGCGCATAAAAATTTCGGCAACAAAATCAATGATGCACATTACTTGTGCCTTGGCGTCATTGGTCCATTCATGGGCCTTCGCGTTGGTAAACGCCATGCACCACCACTACCATTACCATGAACCAAAAAATACTTAAGATAGAAGTGTGCTGACCATAATAAAAGTAACAAACCGGATACTTTGCGTAAGCAAGTTACTGTCATGTATTTGTCTCGTAACACTATATATACATGAGCATAATTTGAATTCGAATAAAGAATATGTAAAGTAACGAAGTTTGGATTGAGCCCTATATGACCTCCTGCTGCCGCACTGCGCGTGATGTAAAATTTCGTGTTCCAACTTACTTGTTTCCCTTACTTTTGCATGTACAGACCGCACCAAGAGGGTAGCATTGCTAGTTGCCTGTTTCCTGCTTGCAATGCTGTGGGACGCCGCTGAAGGACAGTACCCACCGGGACCACCAGCCTGCAGGTCATGGTATCAGGAGGTACGTATATATATAGATGGCGTATATAATTACATATAGGATTTTGCTTCTAAAGGTTCTTGCCTCCCATATTGAAAAAAAATTCTATTATTAAACCACGCTTTAGAACGAAATTTCAGTTTGAGAGTGTGTAACGATGTGGCAACGTGCCCGCATTCTGCTTCTGGACGCCGGTTGGTGCAGACGCAGGATGGAAAGCTCATCCCGAGCAGCGACAGCGGCCGACGCCGGCCGCGGTACAGCGTCTCCCCTTGTTCCAAAGGACTACAGGATTATTCTGCCTTCGTTGCCATCAGGTGAAGCGATGCGTCGAGCAGTAGCTCTACACTGTGACGTCGGCGGCCGACCGTACCGCATCGACGACTTCAGGAAACCTCTCAAAGATTTAGGCGTCATACAGCACGTATGTGGCATCGGAGCATATCAGATGTCGCACGTGTGGCTATTGAACATGGAGACCGTGGAAGCAAAGAAAGCGCTGACAGATGCAGGCGTTCTCAAAGTTAAAGACCGGGTATGTCTCGTCGTTGACCCGACGCGGCAAGAGGTTAAAATGAAATTGCACTGGCTAGAGTTCGATGTTACAAAAGACGCTATTCGACGTTCCTTCTATGAATACGGCGAAGTCAAGGAGATGACCGATGACCGATGGAGAGTCGAGGATTTTGAAGGAGCTGAATCGACCACTCGTGTAATACGCATGCAACTACGAGATGGCGTTTCTGTGGATCAACTGCTCTATCAGGTCATAGCCTCCTCTATAACTTTGTGCCCGAGCGGTCGGTCCCTCAGCGCCGTCCCCCGAGCTATTATGGGATGCGAGCGCTCCTGGCGGAGCGCCGAGGCGCAAAACGAGAGAATGGATGGCAGCTATGGAGAAAAAACCGGCTTTGAGTAACTACCGAAAGGGCAAAAATGAAATAAGGAGGGAGGCATTTTACGATAATTCAAGGGGAAGCGCTTTACTGTTTGAAGCGAGATCGGGTTGCCTTAGAACGCGTAGTTATAAAGCAAGATTCAGTAAAGAAGAAGAACAATGCACATGCTGCGGGAAAGATAAGGAAACGGCGGAGCATGTTCTGATTGAATGTGGAGATATCCACCCAGGTGTACTCCTGTATCCGTCAACTGAGCTCGTAATGGTTCTAAATTCTCTAAAGAATTACGCGGAAGTTTTCCTCGCAAGAGCGAGAAAGATGAATCAGCCACTGAATGCTGCCGTTGACAACGCCGCGCAAATACTACAGAAACGTGACAAACTCAAGTGCTCGACCCCGGGACATCATAAAAAACTTTTGGAGGTTGTGCTCGTGAAGTTTCTCCGCCCACTTTTTCTGAACTTCGCGACGAGTGTGACTGACAAACACGACTTGGCAAAAGATTTTCATGTCAAACCATTGTCTCGAAAAGTGCTCAAGCTTTGAGCGCGAAATCAAATAACAAAGCTCACATTGCATTCTGCATACAGTGCTTGTGTTAAAAATTTGGTGTGTGCGCACTTCTTAACGTATACGCATAATCCAATGCAATGTAGACGGTTTCTAGACCGTCATAAACGCAAGCGTGCATAGGCCGCGTCGTCTGCTGTTATTATGGGATCGGTGCGGCATCTGGCGGCGAGCGCCAAAACTATAAGGGACGGATGGCGCGTATGTATTTAGCGCTAATGCGCGGGCACAAAAAAATATAGGAGGCTATGATCAGGTGCGTATTGGCAGCAGTACGGCACTGGTCGTGGTGCCGGGAAGACCGCCTTTGTGCTTGCGGTGCCGAAGCACGGGGCATATGCGACGCGATTGTGAGGTCCCAAGGTGCAGTGAATGCCACTCTTTCGGTCATGAGCAGGACGAGTGTAACCGTTCATACGCACGAGCTGCAGGGCGACGACCAGAGACTCAACAGAGTGAACTTCTCATGGATGAGGAGGAATCGGAACAAGCGTCTTTGCCTGCGACCCCACAGAAGCAGACGACATCGGACGACACGCCGGTGCTGAAGAAAAGCAAGCAAGTTTCTTCAGCCCTGGATACGAACGCCGGGCGGAAGATGGGAAGTCAAGCGGCCCCAACGACTAGCGAACAGACGCGTCCTGCGCCTGCGATGCACGCCGCGTCGCAGTTGCAAGCAATTAACGCGCCCTGAAACGCCGGCGTCCCAGGCCAACGCTGCTTCGACTCCTCTAAACTCGGCTTCACAGCACTCTTTGGCGAACAAAACACACGAAAATGAGGATTTGCCTAGTGACCTGGATACCTTAAGCATGGAATTAGAATCGGCGTCTGCAAAACGCCGTCGCGATTTAGACGACGGTGCTCAAGTAGACGAAACGCAAGTAAAGTCGGAAGTGCAGTGGAAGGTGGTCAGTGGAGGCAAGAAACGAAACGCTGCCCGACAACGGTCGTCGTCGCTCAAACGCGACGATGGCCGCTCAAACTGAAGTTGAACAACATGGATCCACCCTGGACGACGAGAGCCCAATAAGTGAACGTGCAGGGCTCTCAGCTTGGACCCGCTCACCGATCACGTCGCTGAGCGGGTTCGTGAAAGCAGCGACGCTCAATGTACGAGGACTGGCTTCCAGAAAGAAACAGACTCAGCTCTACAGACTAGCCATGGACCAAGACCTGGACATTATTGCAGTTCAGGAAACCAAAGTGGAGAGCGTGGACGTCACCGAGAGCCTACTGCAACGTTTCACCGGACGCTACACCGCCAGCGTCAGTCATGCAGTTGGTAGGTCGGCAGGGTGTGTGATCTTTGTGCGGAATAGTTTAGGTGCCAGTGTTCAAAACGTCACGTCTGACTCATCCGGAAGGTTTGTTGTATGTGATTTGACCTTCTTTTCTCTTAATTGGCGAGTGATTTGTTTATATATGCACCTCTTAAAGTTGATGAACGGTGTGTAACATTCGACAAAATTTGTACTTATTGTGAATGCGATCGCATAGTCATCCTTATGGGAGATTTTAATTGTGTGATCAGTGCCGATGATAAAACAAGTACATCCAATTTCAACGACTCAAGCACAGTCGCGTTTACAAATCTAATTTCTGACTTAGACCTTCAGGGAGCTGTTTTGTCCCCTTTCCTTTTCAACCTCGCTATGAGGTCACTACCTCCCAAACTTGACACGATACCCGGCCTGCGATACACCCTCTACGCAGATGACATCACGCTCTGGACGACGGTGGGATCCGATGGTCAAATCGAGGAGACTCTTCAAAGAGCAACCGACGTAGTCGTTCAGCACGTGTCAGAAGCGGGTTTGGAGTGTTCCCAGAGCAAATCGGAGCTACTATTACTGCGACCTCCAGATCGCCGCAAAATTAAGACTCCACTTCCTAGTATTAACGTGTATGTCAATGACACGCCAATTAAGCAGGTGGCCCACATGAGAGTACTCGGACTCATTGTGCAAACAAACCACCACAACAACATTACGCTAGACCGTCTCACCGTAACCGTGAACCAGACGGCCCATCTTATATCTCGAGTGAGCGCTCGCAATCGAGGCATGAAGGAGAAAGAACTGCTACAGATAATTCAAGCCTTCGTTTTGTCGCGCTTCACGTACGCCCTCCCTTATTTGCACCTCCTTCAATCTGAGCGAGCCCAACTAAATCGGCTCTTACGCAAAGCGTATAAGGTGGCATTGGGTCTCCCCCGAAACACATCGACAGAGCACCTCCTCAGTCTTGGGCTGCATAACACCTTAGAAGAACTTCTTGAAGCGCATCTTACGGCGCAAATTCACCGATTACAGGGAAGCAGGACGGGGCGTTGGATCCTTGCTAACATTGACCATGTGGTATCTCCTACGGGTAACGATCCGGCTGTCATCCCCCCCAACATCAGAAAGAAATTCCTCATAAAACCACTGCCAAAGAACATGTTGGCCAGCCATCACGACGGTAGAAGGAAAGCGAGGGCCAAATTCTTGCAAAAAACGTACGCGTCCAACCCAACCGTTGCGTACGTTGACGCCGCCCAATACCGAGAGTTTACTAAAGCATATGCAATAAGCGTAATCACTCTCCCCGGCAACAACGCCAATTCACCTCAAATTAAAGCGGCTGCTTCTGTCCGTGTGCTTAATACGACAGAAGCTGAGGAAGCGGCGATAGCGCTAGCAGCAGCATCCGGATTCACCACTATACTCAGTGACTCAAAGGCTGCTATATCCAACTTCGCACGTGGCATTGTGGCCCCCACAACTCTGCGTTTACTATTGCCCAGTCTCCTTACAGATGCTGAGGAAGACGCACTATCCTCCATTGCGCTGGTATGGGTGCCGGCTCACGCGGGGAACCCAGGGAACGAGGCGGCCCACCTATATGCTCGAGGATTCGTCAGCCGAGCGGTGGTACCCGCCTCTGATTTGGAAAACCCTGGTGAAGCCTTGACATCCTACCATGACATCACACAATATTACCGTCTTTCGAGGCAGACAAAACCACCCCCGCACCATAAGCTAACTAAGCGCCAGGAGGTTATCTGGCGCCGCTTGCAAACACATTCATTTCCGTGCCCATACATTTATGCACGTATATACCCCGACTCGATTGATCCGCATTGCTCGCATTGTGGCTCAATAGCCACACTTAATCACATTCTCTGGGCCTGCAGGGAAGATCCCCCCTCTCTCGATCTCCTAGCCGCTCCCTCGCCAGAGGGGTGGGAGGCAGTTCTGACCTCCACCAGCCTGGCCGTTCAGCTCCAGGCCGTACAAAGGGCAGAGGAGGTGGCCATCAGGTTCAGCCTGGCGGGTCACCTACCTCCTTAAGTCTGACGACAATAAAGTTGTGTTCTCTCTCTCTCTGACTTAGACCTTGAGGATGTTGCAGAGTGTATTGGTAAAGGACCAACACTGTATACGCATTTCGAAGGCTCCAGTCATGCGCGCCTATATAGGGCCTACGTGTCACTGGATTTAATTCCGGTTATCAGTGAGTACAATGTCCTCCCTATTTCATTTAGATCATTGCTTAGTATCATTTGTA